GCCACATGCATTTTTGCTACTGACTGGCAGTCATGGTCCAAAGACAAACACTGGCTTCATCCTTTTCCCATCTCTATCTTTAGGAAAGGTTCTGGAATCCTTTTCTTGCCCTCAGAGAAAATAAGTGGTGTAAGTCAGGAGGTACTGTTGTAAGATTAGAAATACAAGTTGGACAAGGAAAAAATAATGACCAGGGTCTTTCCTAGAAATAGAGGAGAGGAGAGGAGAGGAGAGGAGAGGAGAGGAGAGGAGAGGAGAGGAGAGGAGAGGAGAGGAGAGGAGAGGAGAAGCAGCTTCTGTATGAGTCACTCCTCATTCTGAGGCATATAGTTGCACAGCACTTGAAATAAGACTCTCAATCTGGCTAGGAACTAAGTGTACCCTGCACATCCCTGTTTCCTGCTGAATATTTCACCCCACAAAATGAAAATAAATCTTCCCATCACCTATCAAATACGTCAGGATTCCCTCTCCTACCACATAGGGCTTGTCCTGCTCTCCAGCCTCAGGGAGATGAAGCAGGACTAATAAATGTGATCAATGTGTTTCTTTTCTCCAGATACAATTTATGATGAGGTGTTTTGTGAGTATGATATATGATTCACTGTGGGATGCAACAGAGTGTTTTGGCCTTGCATCTGTAGAGGTACAGTATCTGTTTTCCCTCAGACCATAAAACATATAGCCCAGAAAAATGATGAATATGTTCTGAAGAAGCTCAAGTGGGAACTCCAGGGAAGTTCCTTGAACGTGTTTCTAAACAGGATATTCATTTTGCTAGTGAAACAAAGAAAACACTTCCAAGTCTCTGCGCCTTCTCCAAGCACCCATTTCCTACCCCTGCCCTTTTCCCAACTTACTTCCAAAGCCTACAGAAGGCAGGATTGATTGAGGGTCAGTGCTGACTCTAGCCTCTGTTTTCAGCTTTGGAGCACCTGGCAGCCTATGTCCATAGCTGGCAGGTCAGCAGTCATATCTGGACGTCCACAAACAAAAAGCCAGGGTTAGTCCAGCGATATAAACCTTTTGCAAGAAAAGTATGTTATCTTCTGGCTGTGCAGTGAGGGAGCCTGGTGTTGATGTGATGAATTTTTCCCCACTCGTAACTCATCCTGTCTCTTGCACTCATCCCAAGCTCTGTTTATCAAACCTGTTGGTCCCACTGCTGACCAAAGACTGCATTAAATTGGTTCATCAATCATCTGGCTGTCAGACACAGTCTTGCCAAGGAAGGGAGGAAATGCCATAAAACTCCACAGATGATATAATTCTGATTAGGAAAAGTGCTTACTTCTGCACCTACTTTTAAGCCCATTAGAATAGCTGTTTTGCAGATCTTACAACTTAAAGCATTTAGCTTGAATATGATTTAGTGAATCAAAGCCTTTGTTAATGGGGCATTTGGATATTCATTACTGCACCAGTTTTTGACTTGTAAACAGGATTATAAACAGGAGAGAAATTAACTTTTTATGCAAGTAGATACATAGTGATAGACAGTAATAGAGGGGGAATGGTTTTAGACTAGATGGGAGACTTAGATTACATGTCAGAGGGAAGTTTTACAGAGAGAGGGAGACGAGGCGCTGGCTCACGCTGTCCAGAGAAGCAGCGGATGCCCCATCCCTGGAGATGTTGAGGTCCAGCTTCGATGGGTTCCTGTGCAGCATGAGCAGTTGGGTGGCAGCCCTGCCCATGGTATGGGGGTTGAAACTAGATGATCTTTGAAGTTTCTTCTAACCCAAGCCATTCTATAATTCTATTATATTGCCCTCCACAGTCAAGCATGATGAGCCAGATAATGCCAGCTAAGTATTCAGCTGGGTAATACTAATAGCCGGGGCCATGCTTTTCAGGAGAAAGAAAAAATGAAAGCAAATATTTTATCATCTGCTTCAGTGAGATGAAAGCTGGCTCTGCCAAAAGGAGCTCCCAGAAATCCATTTCCAGACTGGGTAATAACGGCTGGAAGAAAATTGTCTCTGTACCATTGGCATGTAAGCCAATTCTACATGGCGTTTTCTAGAGCATGGTCATCCTGGGCATGAATACTCCCAAATGTAGTGTTGTTTTTTTACTTCAGGCATCAAATGGGCTAGGCCATAAACTATTGGACGGCTACTACTACTAAGGGACTTTCTCAAAGTACACAGAGATACCAAAGGTCCTTGTTTTATTGTTTTTGGCAGTTGTTTGTTTGTTTGTTTGTTTGTTTTGAATTCAAGAAAATTGCTTATTAGTTGCCAGATGCTAGACTTATAAAATTGGCCACAATTGCATTTTGTGTAGTAAGTGTTTTCCAGAAATGAAGAAAAGCCATAATTTGCATATAGTGACACTGGGGAGTAAGGGGATTATTTTAGTAATTAGGATAACAACAAAGAATATTCTTAGTCATAAGTATCCCTCAGACTGGTCTTACACTAATGGAGGGTGGTTTAGATGTTTCCATCCCAGTGGAAATCTTTATGAATGGATTAAAGGAGGAATGTATAATTATCCTTCCCATGTGCTCTTACTAATGCTCTCTACACCCAGAATTGCATATAGAAGGGCTTTGATTTTACTAAATCACAAGATATGCATTAGATTGAAAGAAAAAAATCATTTGCAATAGGTAATTTATTGGAAATTGAAATTTCTGTGGGAGTGTGGTCCAGTTCCCCAAGTAAAATCAAACTATTTCACAGTGTCAGAAGCGGTAAAATTCACACTCTATGACAACACATAATTAATGCAAGACATCTGATTTTGGCCGGACTGAAAATTTTAGCAACGAGGTGAATTTTTCAGCATAGGTGCTATCCTTTCACAAAGGTCAGGACTGTCCTCAAAGAGCTTATCAATAAAAAAATCCAGTTCTTTCTGAGCTGATTTTTCTCTATGTTGAAGATTCTATCAGAAAAAAAGGCTATTCGTGCCCAATAAATCAGCTTTCTGAATCCCTTTGGGTTGCTTTACATGTCATTTTTTGGTAGATCCAACTTGCCTTATTGAATCCATTCAAGACATAGTGTCAGGTTTTCAGATTACTTGACAGTGTGGTTAATGGTTTCTTTTGCCTTTGAGTTTTGGTCTATTTTTAAGTGAAAAAAAAAAAGAAAAAAAGAAAAAAAAAAAAGCTGTCTGAAAGCTGTACAAAGTTTCTTTTAAAAGGGGTCTGTCCAAAACATTATAGAATTTTCCGTAATATAATGTGACACTTGAGAAATGTCAAATTGAAACATTCCAACATTCTCTAACTTTTCTTCCATTTTGAGGACGCTGGAACTGTTTCCTTCTGTTTATCCAAAGGCACAAATAACTTCAGAGTTCTGAATTTGCTTTTGTGCCTGACAAATCCAACCTAACTCCAGTGAACAGGAGCCTCTCTGTTCAAGGCTTTTATTAACACTCTGGTGAATAGCTACTGCTTGGAAAAAGTCTTTGAGGAGAGCTGAATGACCAACTCTTTGTAAAGTTTTCTATGTTTCCATTATCAGGACTCTCAAGCAACCTTAGTAAATGTGTCCATGATCCTCAAAGTACCAGTGCTTTTTTTCTAGAAAGGATTCTGCTTAGGAGTCTCTGAAGGTTACAGGCAAGATACTGTTGAAATCATTGGTCATCCTGGTGAGGGGCTTGCCTTTGCAAAGTGGATAGGATGCCTTCCCCATCTGAACTGAAAGACATGATGCTAAGTGTAAACCTGAAAGTTGTTTATATGCTGTTGTTTGGAAATGGTCGTTTTCCTCCTGCTTACAGCCTGGTCCCACTTTCTTTCAGTATGTATTGTTTGACATTGTTTCTTCCTGGAACATTTATAAGGCATTATGCTTAAAAAATTAGGTTGATGAATGAAAAGAGGCAGTTCTGATAAAGTCATTGACAGAAAGGCCAGAAGCCTTGTTGTCATCTTGGAAGCTTGTCATTTGGCTGCCATAAATCGCTCTGAGTAGCAAGATAGTAAAAAAAATAAAGATAAAAATAGAGCAAAAAACTGCCCAGAAACTTAGATGACAATGAAGCAGAAAGTGTCCCAGCAAAACGATCATTTTTGGAGAAACACAATTAAGCCATTAAGAATTCCTCACTCATTGTAACAAGGGAACAAAGACTGTCTCAGACCTTAAGTTCGTATGCCTTTAAAAGACCTTTCTTGTAGGTAACAGATCTGCTACTGCCTCTGGGTAACCCTGTCAGTATCACACCACTGCCCATAAGAAGACATCCTCCTTTCATGCTGTAAGATTGAGAACCGCTGAGAAAGCGCCAGGCAGTCTTGTCAATGAGTAGATCAGTTCTGCCCAAATCTGATTTTCAATTGCTTGCTTTCAGCAAGAATTTTGCTTTTGTTTTGGGTCTTATTCTTGAGAATGCTTGGAAATAGGATGTTAGAAGAACCAAGATTTGAATACACCTGAAACTCCAGATGTAGCTTTGTGCAGGGGCCGTTCAGTTGAAGTCAGTGTGACCGTGGGATCACCACAGTTCCAAATCAGCTCAGTTCTGCATTCTAAGTTCATTATTTCAGCTGTATTAACAAGCTGCAACTTTGTGGGGTTTATTGTGCTCAAGCCTAAATGCCTGGCATGTAACTTTGGGATCTCCAGCTGAACAGGTTGATTTCAAGACAGCTGCTTGAGTACTCAAAGCCACGTAGAAGATATGATGCCATTACCAGAGGTTTGGATCAGTCTTACAAGCAGATCCTTGGCTCACAGCCCATCTGCCCACTTTTCCAGGAAAGGCTGAGCCATCTCAGGAATCAATGTGACACACAGTATTAAATCCTACAATATGTTTAAGCTTAAAGGCACTTAAAAATAGTACTTGAAATGCCTTTGGTACTGTCATCATCTTAATTGCACAAACAATCTAATTCAATTTAAAAAGTAACAGATTTCCAATCAGTTTGCTGACATATTCCAGAATATGTTTCAGCCAAGAAGAGTATCTTACCTTCATTTCCAGATGAAACAAATAAATGTCTTGCATTGTTGCTGTTCTTTATCTTGCAGACAAACAAAGCTGTAGCCAAGGGAGACTTCCACCACGCAAGCTCCAGCTCCCGGCGAGCACTCTTCCTTGCTGTGCTGTCCATCACAATTGGAACTGGCATCTATGTTGGGGTGGCTGTGGCTCTTATTGCCTATCTATCCAAAAACAATCACTTATGAGCCTCAGGAAAGAGGGACAACCAGCCGCCCAGCACCTGCACTGCAGAACTCCACCGCAGATCAGACTGCATGGTTTTCCAAAAAGAGCCAGAGACATAGAAACACCTTCTGGGGGCAGGTACAGGCTAAGATGGGCTTGTGCATTGCAGTAGGGTGGGAAGCTGGCTGAGATTGAGATAGTTGCTGTATTTGTGATGCACAAGTCCCGCTTCTCTACATGAAACCTTGTGAAAGGAATAAAGGAAGAAAAGAAAAGAAAAGAAAAGAAAAGAAAAGAAAAGAAAAGAAAA